CGCCCCCCCCGCCCCCGCCGGCCCGCCCCCAGCCCGCCGCCCCTGCGCCCCCCGCACCGGCGCCCGCCCCCCGCTCACCGCCGGGCGCTGCCCGCTCCTCCTGGGGGCGCGTCGAGGCCCCGCCGCCCCGCCGTTGCGCTGAGGGGCCCGCGCTGCCCGGCGACACTTCCCCGTCCCCTAAGAATATTAATCACCAAAAATAATTCCAGAGAAAAATGGAGAGTAAAATCCAAGATGGCGGCCCCAGCCGCAGCACCGCCCGCTCCATCCGCTGTCGGGAAATGAGTCCCAGCCGCGGCCGGAGCCCCCCGCCCCCACCGCGCCCCCGCGCCACGGGCCTCACCTCGCCTCTCGCGCGGCCTCGGGGTGTCAAAGGCAGCCACTGGCTTGGGGGCTCCGCGTTCTGAGTCTTGGCGCCGCGCGTGCCGCCTCCGGGGCCTGGGCGCCCTCACCTCATAGCCCCGGAGCCTCACCGCCCGCGCCGCAGACGCGTCGCCGCCCCCGGTGAGCCGCTCGGACGCCGCCCGGGAACGGTGGAAGGACACGAAAAGGAGTTCCCGCGGCCAGGCGGAGGGACACCACTTCGGCTCGTACCGCTCTGGACGCCTCTGTTGCTTTTACGGGACCAGGGGTGGGGGGAGGCGGAGAAACCCGAGAAAGAAATGAGTTCCCCGCCGGGTGCTCCCGCGGCGGAGGAACAAAAAGCGAATGTTGAGGGGATGAGGTGAGTCGTTGCTTCGCTTCGCTCGCGGCGGAGGGATCCGTGTTGGGCAGTCGGCAGGGATCCCTCCGCTCCTCGCTGCCCTTTAAATTGCGGCTGGAGGCGGTGCCGCCGTGCGTCCCTGGGGCGCCACCCGGATCTCGGGCCTCCTTACGTACCCGGCCCCCGCGAGGCCGCCTTCGACACTCGGTCCCTGGCGCGGCTGCACCCACCGGGGACAGCCCTGGGGAATGGGCAGGCTCCTCGCCCACTGCGCCTCCCGGGTGCGCCTAGGGGAGGTGGCCCCACGGAGGCGAGCCTCTTTGTTGTGGGAATGGGTGTCATTGGAAGCAGATACACCCTTAAAGACCATGTGGGCAGCCTGAGCGTTCCACCGCGTAGTGTGGGAGGGAGGGAGGGAGAGACGGGGAGTGAGCCTGCATTAATCGGGCCACTGGCTTCCTAGTGTCAACCGGCTATTTCTTGAGCACCTACTGTGTGTGTGCCGGGCTTCCCGAGAAACGGGTTTTTCAGCTTCTCGCTCTAGTTGGGCAGTGCCGGTACCAAGAATGCAGCTCCTTCCAGGAGCTTTAGGCTGGTGGGGAACTTGCCCAGAGGCTCACACGGGCCAGGTGCTGCCCTGCTGGGAGAGTGCGAAGCCTCCCCCTTTGGATCCTGCAGTTGACGATAATGACTACAAAATAACGATGAGAGTAACATGTATTACAGCCTTTACTGGATACCAGGCACCGTCCTCAAGCTTTGCTGCCCTATCTCGTTTACTCCTTACAACGACCCCCAGGAGGTGGGACCGTTTCCCCCATTTTATACGAAGGGAAGCTGAGGCACAGAGAGGTTAGGTGACCTCTAAGATAGCCAGTCAGGGCTTGAGCCGGAGCCCTTATCCAGTACTCTGGTCAAAAGTTCAGACGTCAAGAAGTTGAGGTGGCCACAAGCTGGGCAGATGCCTAAAGGTCTCCCCCAACCGGAAGAGTGGATTAGAGTCTGTAAGGAAAAGGGAGTGGTTAGGAAAGGTGAGCCCAACAAGTGCAAAGGCCTTGGGGGCTGGGTGGGGGAGGGGGTGGTAAACAGCCTGAGGCTTCCGGAGGTCCAGCTTGGTCATGCAAAGAGGAGGCGGGCAGCACAGGCCCGAACTTCTATTCCGGGAAGAGACCCACGTCTGCCATGGTTTCCTGCCATCCCCAGGGCCTGGCACAGAGTAGGCACACCAGAAAGGATGCTTCAGTGGAGAGTGTGGATGACCACAAGGTCTGTGGTCCAATGAACACCGACCACCAACACAAGCGCTTACCCCATTTTCCCTCCTCCTTGACCTTGGGTGGCAGACATGATGCTTATCACCCCTTCCACAGATGGGAAACTGAGGCACAGTGATTTGCTGAGGGCATGTATCTAACAGAGGTGAAGGGAGGTCTAGATCTTACAAAACAGAGCTCCTCCCGTTGCCCTCCCCCTACCCCCTGGGGAAGCCTACCTGGTGGGGTTAGTGGGTTTGGGGGTGCAGAGCCTTCACCACCCTTCCGGTAAAGCAGATGCAGGCACGTGGCCCTGCACCCTCTGCTCTTTAAAAGCCTCCGGGTCATCTGTGACATCAGAAATTGCCTTGCCGCTCTCTGCAAGCACGAGTAACGAATGATTGCTTTGGTTTTATTTGCTTCTGATTGATCGCTAAACTTTCTTTCCAAGATTTTCATAGTGCTTGGCTCTACATACTCAAATTGCACCCCACTGAGACTGCCTTTGCCACCCTGTTTCCTCACTGGATGCCCAAGGGGGGAGAGCACAGTGGGCACCACAGCCCTGTGTGGATCCCCCTGGGTCTCGGTGCCTAGGCCCCAAGTCCAGCCATGCCTGGGCAGCCCTTCACTGCCCCAAACGTCAGTGTCTTCCCCAATCCAAGCTTTCCAGAGTCCACCCCGACAGTGACCCCTGAGGCTGACACCCAAACCCTGACTCTGAAAAGCCCCCAGACTCCCAAGACATTGGCACTCCCATTCACCAACCCTAAGCGCCCAGCACCAGGCCAAGCGTTCTGGGTGGTGACTTGCAAGGGAGCAGGCTGGGGAAGGGCAGGGGAGGCAGATGGGCGAACCCAGACACAGGTTCCTCTGGCTCCCCGGTTCTGGTTCTGTCCCTCCCCCATCCCCCCTGCACTGCTGCTCCTTCAGCCTCAGGTGAGAGGCCCAGGGTGGCCGGAGCTCTCTGCAGACCCGAGCTGGAGCTCAGGACCTAGATGGGGCCACGCTGAAGGGAGGCCAAGGCTGAGCTGGGAAGAGGCCACAGCCCAGAGCGGCCCTCCTGGGGGAGACTGGAAATTCGACTTCCTCACAGGGAGTGTGGCCAGCTGGAGGCCTCCTCCTGCCAGCTGGCAGAGGAGGGGGGATGGGGGACAGGAAATAGTGTGGCCAGGCACCTGCCCAGCCCCCACGTGACAGGAGCCATTGGCGTTTACACTGGGAAGCCGCTGGATGCCCCAGGTGGAGGTGCTAAGCCACAGAGGCCGTGGGACCCCACCAATCCCGGACAGAAGGAAAGGTGACGACTCTAAAGAAAGGCTGAGTTGGCGGAAGGGGCCCAGGCCAGCCCCGGAAGTGCCAGGAGTGCCAGCCCATCCCGGAGCTGACCTGAGAGCCACACCCTTGCCAGGGTGTGGGCTGAGGCCACAGAGTCTCTTCCAGTCCCCCCAGTAGGGCCCAGGGGCACCTCAGAGACCTAGTCTGATCCCACCAACCCTGCATCACTCTCCAACTCCCCTTCCTCAAATACCAGGTTCACCCAGCAGCTGGCTGGCAGGGATTTACTTGCTGGAATCCTGTGCCCACGGGGGGGTGGCCCACAGGTCTTGCTGAGCCCAGAATTCCAGGCTGGGTGGCGAGTGGCTTCTCATTGTTAAGTGATATCTTGGCTTTCAGACTCTGCACTCGTGTCTCCCCCACACTCCGACCCCCACCCCTGCCCGGAAGGCAGAGCTGTTCTGATGAAAGCAGGCGCCTGAGTAGGAGGCGGGGCAAGAGGGACGGGGACATACCCAGGATGGTGCCGGGGACCCGTCTGGTTGGCTGCGGCTCCCTCACCACCTGCCTGAGCACTGCTATGCCCGCTGCACCATCCTTGCCCCTCCACTGCCCACCCCTCCCTTGACAGATGAGAAAAGGTCGAGTGACCTGCCCAAGGCCAAGTCAACAGAAGCAACAGCAGCCAACTTTATGGCAGCTGTGAATAGGGGCTTGGCATGGGTTTGAATCCCAGTTCCACAACTCACCAGCCATGTGATTTGGGGCAAATGATGCAGCCTGTCTACACACCAACCCCTCAACTGTGCAAAGGTGCCAGTCCTTGGACCTGCCTAAGTAGTCTGATTCGTAGCTTTAAAATCGCTTACGTACTGAAGATGCCCAAAATCCCATCTACGGCCTGCATGTCTCTGAACTTCTGACACCACGCTTAGGTGTTTAATAGGCATTTCAAATATAGCAAGGCTAAAATTGAAAACACACACACACACACACAGACACACACACACACACACACACACACACTTCCACCTCTCAGAGAGAGATTCTTCCCATCGCTCAGGTCCAATACCTAGCTTTTATTCTCCCTTAATGTCCTTTGTGTTTTGTTTGTTTATTTTGTTTTCTCCTTAGTACACATCACCATCTAGCATCCTGTATCTTTTACTTATTCATTGCATGTACTGACTGCATCTCTTCCAGGCTGTAAGTTCCTTGAGGGCAGGGGGCTTTGTCTGCTTTGTTCACTGTTCTATACTCAGCATTCAGAGGCTTAATCCATGAAGGCTAATGCTAAGCTTCCAGGATTGCTACAGGGATAAGAGGAGGTGTGAGCAGGTTTTTAACCACTCTCCTCTTGCTGGGGCTCAAGCTCACGTCGAGGAGTTTTCTCCACCATCCACCCCCGCAAGTGCACAAACTTCCCTGCCTTTCAAGCTCAGGGCTGCCCTGGGCTTTGTGTCTGCCTGGGGCAACCCTGAGGGGTGGTTCTCTTTCGGGTTCCCACCACCAAAAAGGAGCCCAGCCATAGCCACCCCTGTCCTTTCAGACACACCTGGAATAAACACAGAGAGGACCAAGGACAGCTGAAAAACTGGTTTCCTCAAGGGCGGGGAAAGCTTACTCTTCTTATCAGTCAATAATTTCAAACTCACAGGAAGGTTCCAAGTATAGCGCAAAGAATTTTATTTTCCTAAATGTGAGCTGTTGCCGAGATGCTCCGGGACTTCCGAGCAGAGTAGGGTGTGTTTCCAGACAGCTGAGATTTCCTCTGACAAAACCAGGTAACTACGATCGAAATCGAGAAATTAACGTTGGTGGGTGGATGCCAAAATTTCATCTTCACACCATAGTCAAGTTTTCCCAATGACCCTAGTAATGTCCTTTATAGCAAGGGAGCTTGTCCAGAGCCCCAAGTTACCGTGGTTGTTGGGGGTTCAGCTTCCTTCACTCTGGAGCAGTTCCTCACCCTTCCCTTTAATTGCATGACTTGGGCAATCCTGAAGGTTACAGAACAATTATT